GTGAGTTTAAATCGTCAGATAATTCGGTCTTATTTAGGACTGAAAATCCTTTGCAAACGGACAATTCATCTCTTGTTTTTGCCTCTTGCTATAAGGAGTGCCGAGACTAAGAAAAGCTTATTTGTTTATATATTTACTCATTTATTCATTTAATTTCTGTAGTGTTTTTGAAGAATTTGACGGCAGAATGGACAACGTGAAGACACGCATTCGTATTAAACACGATGGTCATTGCTTCTGGGCGGCGCCCTTCGTCTTCAAAACTTCCTGCCACTTTAAAGTGCACGATTTTCCATTTGATAAGCAGCAGTGTAAACTTAAGTTTGGATCGTGGCTATTCACCTCGAAAGACCTTGATCTGTTCAGAAAGAATGAAAAGGCTCAAGTTGCAGAAAACATGCTTGACAACGGCGAGTGGGATGTGACATCGATTGACATCAAAAAAAATGTGGTAACATATTCTTGCTGTCCGGACGACAAGTACCCTGACATCACCTTTGTGATCAACCTTAAGAGGCGGTCGTTGTTTTACACTTACAATTTGATCATCCCTAACTTTCTCATAGCACTGCTCGCGTTCTTTTCTTTTTACATCCCTGTGGAGTGCGGAGAGAGAATTTCGTTCGTGATCACTGTTCTGTTGAGCATGACTGTTTTCTTGCTGTTGGTGGCAGAGAGTATACCGCCTACATCTGAGGCTGTCCCGGTCATAGGCATGTACTATACCAGTTCCATTATCGAGGTCGCTCTTGCACTGGTTGCGACTGGAATCAGTCTTAAGGTGTATTACACTTACTTATACGGGAGCGGTTTGTCGCCCGGCTTGAGGAAATTCCTCTTCTACCGCCTCGCGCCACTGCTCTGTTTTAATACCGAAATCGCTGGCAAAAAGGAACACCGTAAAAAGAAGTCCTGCCTTGGAAATCCTTTTAAATTTCTTAATAAGCTCAGACCAAGCTCTCAGCGAAACAGTGATCTTTCCATGTACAATGTTTCCGTGAACTGCGATGCAGTTACTCCGCATGTGCAGAAAAATGGCGGTGTGAATTTGGACTCCGTCGAAATGAGGAAAAGTAATACCAAGGGTGTTGTAGACTCGCAAGACGAATTATCAGACCAGGAATTACGGCAACGTTTTAAACAAGACGCCGTGTCGGCTGAACTTAAGTCAATCTGCTCAGTAGTAAAGGATCATAAAGACTCGGAGAGGCATGCCGCCGAATGCAGAATTGCAGCTGCCATTGTGGATCGAGCTTTTATGGTTCTGTTTGTCTTGGTCTTTTGCCTCTCTACCCTGGTCATTCTGTGTTTACCTTTTATAAACAACTCATAGATTGTAATGTATGAGCGACGAAGGCGCACCCTCAGTGGTGTAGATTGGGTCATGAATTACATTATTTCATGACACCACCGATACAGGATAAACTCCTCCTTGAGGTGGTGGATTGTGTGACTCTTGAATTTTAGAAGAGGCGTGACGTGACGTGTGTGCACTGTTGAATGAGGCAGCGAGCGGCATTCGTTCCCAGTATTCGAAAAAAACGCAATGCATCAAGGGAGGAATAGTTCTTCTCCGTCCCAGCATTCCTTGTAACCGTGACTATGAAGTTTTCATCGCCTTTGGGGAATTTTCTTTGTTTTCAAAACCCTAACTGACAATTAACTTCTCTTTAAGGAGAAAAAGTTACAAATCCACGTCAACAAATTGAGTCCGAGAACGTAATAACAATGTGTGCATTATTTTCTTAATTACCGTTTATAATTTATAAAAAGACTAAGTCAGTGTTGACAGAACGAAAAAACAAGGAAGTTTGATAATTTTTAATAGTTCTTTTTCTTGTAATATCTGTTAACTAGCTTGGCCAGCCCAAAGTAAACTTCTACTATTAAAATAAATAAGTTATGGTTAAATTTTAAATTATTCAATTTTAACGAAAAGAATAATTAGAGTTTCCATGTAATGGGAACAAAATATCGCCAATTAAACATTGTTAGTGAATGAGAAACTGGGATTCTTTGGTTTTATTAAAGGAGAACACCTACCTCTTGCCAGCCCTTTCCCATTCTTTGTTTCGGTCTTTTGAGGTCAGCCTCGTTCCAACGGTGAGGCTTTACCCTCATCCCCAATTAACCTTATTCAGGATACCCGCCATCTTTGCACATACTTTAGGATTGATGGGACAAAAGAATGCCAGATAGTTCCTCATATAATACAAGCTGCCAATACGAGCATTCATGGCCGACAGTTTTTTTTTTTTTCATTTATTTTAACTATTTTAGTAAGGCCCGGTTCAGACGCCGTACTTTTCATGAGCGGAACCTAATACATTTAAGTACATGAAAAGTTCGGTGTCTGAATCAATTAGGAACGCCTGTTTG